CTAATAGCAAGTCTGGCTTTGACATCCCCTTGTTTGTAAACCCATTCAACAGCACCAGGAGTATATGGCAAGCGAATCATGACCATCATGTCATAGTTTACTACATCGTATATTTTTACAGAGCGGTCATCTGATATTGTGCAGCAGAGCAGACCATCAATACTAACCTGCATAGCTGAAATAAGTCATGGTTGATGACAAGCATAACGAGACTCTGAAAATATAAATACATAATACAACAAGAAAATAATCGCAATAATACTTTCTATGCCCAACAAAATCATACTATACAATATCTGACAAGTCAGGCAAGAATACATTAATTTAACAAATTATATAAAATTTATAGCAAAAGTGTCGCGGGAGGTTAACAAACTTACAGCTAGACCTTCAATTGGACCAAGATGAGATCTGAAGTGTTTGGCAAACTCAATACCAATAGACTTTTTCTTCCAAAACTTCAAATGCCCTGACAACAAGAAGTACGCCACAATGTCATTCCAGACATATAAACTATTCCAAAGATTAAGCTAATTCAAATAAGACCTATATGCTATCATAAGTGTATCGTTTCACCTGATCGATGCTTCCATAGTTACACGGCACCGATAATTTTACAAAAAAAATAAATAACAAACAGCGACAAAAGTACTGGTAAGGTTACAACTAATAGGATCACTCTATTCAAATGAGTAGCTTCAAATTTTCAGCATGCTACTTATAACTGGCAAAAAAGAAAAAAAATTAATCATAAATTCAAATTCGGAATACCATCGGAACTTCCAGTGATGAAAAAATCCGCAGCTGAAACAGCAACATGCGTAACCACGTCACGGTGCATGTAACTTTTCTCATACCTGCATCGAGAACAACAATAAGAAACTGAAGGAATCCATAACATTCACGAGATTTTCACTTTTGGAGTTGCGCAATTTCTCGATTGAAGAAACCCTAATTCAAAACTACGATATTGGCGCGGAAACTGACATGTTGGCGGAGGGTAAAGCGTTGAGGTAGGCCTGCTCGAACTGAAGGGGTCGCTTGGGCCGAGCCCGAGGGGCCGGGCCCGGGCCTATCATCGGTTCCTCTTCTCCAGCGTTGGCACCATTCTCGTGTTCTTCCATCTTCAAAAGCAGCACTTCGATTTAATTGAATGAGGAAGAACAACAAAGCTTAGTAACTTTCTCTAAATGTAGTAATTTCAAAGTGAGGGAGCGAAATCTTGTTCTGAAGAGTTGAAACACTAGAGAAAGAGTGAAAAAAGACCGAAGCAATCTAAACCCTAAAACGGTACGTCGTTTAATTCTAACGGATAACCTACGTTGGGTTGGGGTGTTTTCTTTCTGCACCACCAAAAAACTCTTGGACACCGCCTACTTCTTAATAGCTACCCCAATCAATATAATGTAATTTATGTATTCATAGGTGTATGAAAATTAAATATTTTATTGTAATTACGGGTTTATGTTTATCCGGTTGATAAAAAATATTTTATCATACAGGTGTATGAAAATTAAACTTATAAATTAAACAGACTATAACTTTGAAATTGAGAAGAGAATTATAGAACTAATATGTGTAGACAAAAACGCAAAATTTCCTTTAATATTAATATTATAAAATCAAAATTTTGTTTATTAGGAGAATCTCAAAGCTCACAAGTATTTATTTTATGTTAAAGAAAAAAAGCATATTACAGGTATCATTAATATGTTAAAAAACGAATTATTTTTAAAAAACAACTCATTTTCTGAATGTTTTTAATGCATTTTTTTCTCAAACAACCCATTTGATTTAGAAATTAGTTGCCAAACTAAGCCATTTACTTTATATTAAATATAATGCTATATGTTTTAAATTAATAGGATCGGACAAACTTTCACGGTTGCTAAGTGATATTCTCGAAGGCCATATTTTATCTTTATATTATATTCACCAAAACATGATAACACACTGTAGTTCTTAACTAAAAAATTATGTAATTTATTTATGATTATGAAATAAAATTTAAATTAATAATAAAAAGTAATTGCGCAAAAGAAATCAAGAAAAATATTTTTTATTTGACAAATTTTCATTTTAAAATGTCAATAATATTATACTCATTATTTATAAAAAACAATTTGATATAATAAAATCACAATATATTAAATTAATTTGAATTTTATATTAAATTAAAAGTGAAATAAACTAGATTAATTTAATTGTTATAATTAGTTTGAGTAAACTTTTTAATAAAAAACTTGAGTCAACCAAACATGTTTACTAACACCTAAATGTTACTCTTGGTTTCAAACACATTTGAATAAGGTTGTCACACTATTTGTGAAGATCTGAAAAATTGTGTTTTTAATTGCTTTATTGTTGGTATGGTGTTTTGACTTGGAAAGATGTAGTTGCATGTGTTGAATCTTGGGACAATGGAACTGGAGTGTGATGTTTGTATACTGTGTGAGTGTATTTAATTTCTGTAATTACTATGTTGAAGTGCCTTGGGGTAAGAGGTTTGTTGTAACATTGAATAAGTGGGAGACTTGTTCTATCAGGATTTTAGTTCATTTGGAGAGTAAGTGAGATAGTGATTTTGGGCATTGGAGGTCTAGAGTGCAATTGGGCTATTTGGGTAGCTCATATATGTCAATTTTGACTTGCTAGGAATAAAACTAGACTAGAACATGTTAAAAATGGTAGAATTAGATTTGGGCCCCTAGGTTGAGAGATTTTCAGTTTTCAAGTATAAATCAATGCATAAATACTTTAAAAAGATGTTATAAATGGTTAGAATCAGTTAGACATGTTTAATTCAACATATACTCGAATTGGATGTCTTAGAAGTTGGCCAAGAGGCCTAGAAATGGTAAGGGCTGGTGTGAGTGTGTGATTCTGCAGAATTTGTGTTCTGCAGATGATGTAGAGTCGCTATGTGAGCTGTCTCGCATAGCGAGACCCTATAGAGGGTGCTCACTGTATGGGTAATTCGCTGTGCGAGCTGGTGCGTTGTGCGAATGACCAGAGGGTACTGCTCTTTGTTTGTGGATTCGCCTGGCGAATCCTGTCGCTATGCGACTGGTGGTGGTTTAGGATCACTGCCTATTTAATTCGAAAGGCGAAGTGAGACGCATAGCGAGAGCTTTAAGGGGGTTGGTCTCTGTCTAGGCTCTCGCATAGCGACCTGGGTGTGTTATGCGAGAGGTTGAAAGTCTGATGCATGTTGTGAGATAATTCGCATGGCGAATTAAGGGGTGCGCTGTGCGAGACTATCCTATCTCTCCTTGCGAATAGGGTGCGCTGTGCGAACCCTTTGAGTCCTGTCTTCTCTTTTGCTCTCTTTTTGGTTGAATCAAGTGTGTGGAATGTTTGAAATGCATAGTATGATGTGGTAATGTGATTATATTGGAAGTATGCGAGTGTATGAGGCACGTTTGGTGATTGAAAGTATGTGATTTTAAAAGTATGGTTGATAGACGTAATTCCATGGATCTCTAAGGAGGTACATGGTGGTGCCCTATAGTATTGGACGTAATTCCATGATCTTCAAGGAGAAGATTCATGGCGGTGCCCTTAGTGTATAAAATGATTTGCATGGTAGCTCAGTCTTGGGGGTTATCCTGAAACTACAATGGTCTATCATTCTCAAGTTTAGAGGATTGAATCATGTTGTGAGTAGTAGCAGGAGGTCCTAGTCTTGGGTGCTTCCAGTATGGCCCAAGGTGAGTGATAACTGACTAATCTCGTGAGTGTTGTAGGGTGAAACCCATTGGCAATGGCTTTGCAAAGCAGTAGAGGCCACCACGAGTGCATAACCCGCCATAGCTCGACAATCATTCTAAGTTCGGACGAGTCAAGTTTAAGTGCAACAAGTCAGGTGTGTGCAGTGTAGTGTATCCGTCTTTACTTGCATGTTGCAGGTGACTGCTATAACATGATTTTTATATCTAGCTCACCCTTGCTTCTGTGTTTGTATGTTGCTTGGGTATGATTTTCTTTTTCAATGATCATCCACTTGGATGTGAGCAAAGATGGATGAGGTGCCTCTAGAGCAGGCTTTGGAGGACGACGGGGCTGCTGCTTAGTTTCATTAGGACTTTAAGTGATTCCTTATCTGTTGAAATACTTTATTTACGTTTAAGTTTTAAATTATGACTCATTTTGTGATCACTGTAAGCTTAGCAACTTTATTTACAGTCTACTCTAACTATTCTCTTTTATATAAATATAAACTTACTATGTTATATGCTTCTATATAATTTGGGATCTTACACTATTAGACTTTATAATAAGTCATGATCTTTAAAATGTTCGGAATCTCTTTCTCACCCTTATTCTAAAAGATTATCTGATAAAATATTTAAGAATTTGTTTTACATATGTTTTTTTAATTTTTATATTCTTTCATTTTATTCAATCATATACGTGATATTTATAATTTAGTCAAATTTCAAATATTGGTGACTTAAACTTAACTGAAGTTTCAAATAAAGATTATCTACAGATTAATGTTATGTTGGAATTTTTAATACATTAATTAATTAATTTTTATCATTTTAATGTGAATTTGTCTAATGATGTGAATATGACTCATAAATTTATCTAATGAACGACTCATTTAATATTTTATCATTCTCATTTAATGAATTTCAAATATTATTATTCATAAATAATCAAATTCAATGAATATTACAGAAACTAAATCAAGAAAAAGGAGATATTAAAAAATCCAATAGAAAAAACGTAAGAGAAGGTTAATCCATCCACAAAATTATAACAAAAACCCTGTTTTGAAGTTTCCAATCATTTTTTTATACTTTACAAGTAGTGTACTGCGCTAAGATAGCAAAATATTTAAGCACGTGTATAAAAAATAAACAAAAAAAGTTCAATTGAATAATTAATACTAAATAAGAAAATAATAATCTAAAAATTGAAAAATAGTGTTTCAAAATACTGTGAGTGACAAAAACCAAAGAACGTTAGAAAAAAAGAAAAAAAGATTGGGCCATCATGGCATGGAAGTGAAATACCAGAACATTCTAGGAAGAACCGAGAGCATCCGCTTATGATATTGGGACATTTCAATTAAGCGTTTCAAATATTATCAATTGAAAAAACCTGCAATAATTTCCTCTGTTACGCTAACACCCTTTCTTCAAAGTAAGCATCCCAATCCTTTTCTTTCGATTTTTCTGTTTAGGTTTTTAGCACTTTCAGCTCCTTTTGATTTTCATTCATTTTTGCTGTTCTTTATCTCTTGATTTCTTTACAATTTTTCTCCTCTTAATAGCGCGTGTTTCGACGGGTCCAGCGTTTTAAAATCAGTGTCAGAAAATTCGGTAAATGTTATGTTAGCTGCTCTATTTGGTGTAATTTAATGACCTGTGAAGTTACAGAGTGTTATGGTACTTGCATAGAACAGAGCAGCCAGCTAAGAATTAGTTACTTGTACTGAAGGGCAGACGCGTGTGAACTACAGTTGTCTGCATCTTACTTCATTGGATGCTAGATGACAACATCTGATAGATGGACAGCCACAAGGAACATCATGAATTACGGAAGTGTCAATTTTGTTGATGTCTTTAATGTTTGAAGATTAGGATGTATTGTTTTGTTGTGAACTTGTGACAAAAGCACTGCGTTGAACCTGGGCAATCAGGGTTCATTGTTGAATCAACTTGTAAGAGAGCCCCTCGGAGGTGTTTGTCAAATTGTTTCAGACAGATTTGGTGGTTATTTTGTAGATACCTTCATAGTTGCATGTATATGGTTTTCTAACACAATATCTTATATCTTGTTATGATTTTGTTTATGCTAGATTTATTAGGTGATATTTTTGCTTTGGGAAAATTAGTGAATTGAATAACCTTTTTTGTTGGTCCCCCACAAACTTGAAGGATGTCAGAACCGCCATTTAGACCACGAGAGAAACTTATTGAGAAGCAAAAGCATTTCCAGAGTGTCCATAAGCACACGTATTTGAAAGGACCATATGACAAGATTACCTCTGTTGCAATACCACTCGCATTGGCAGCATCTTCATTGTATCTGATTGTAAGTTTGTTTGTTATCACTTTTCAGAAATCTTCATATAATCTGTATTGACTTTGCAGATTGAATATTTCAATAACATTCAATGAGTCTCCTCTTATTTCTGGTGACATTGTTTTGCACTTTTTTATCAGGGAAGAGGGATCTACAACATGTCACATGGAATAGGGAAGAAAGAATGACTTACACTTTCTGATTGATTTCTGTGCTCATATGTTTGATGCCTTGATAAATTTCTGTAATTTTCAGACTTTGATCACCAAAGGAAGTTCAAAACTTGGAATGAATAGTGTTCTCTATTTGGTTGATGTAACGATGTAATGGTGATTCAGTACTTGTGTGTAATAACTGGATGTTCATGTTCCTTTTTGTGTCATTTTCACCAGCTATATCTCAAATAACATGAACAAAATACTTAAGATATGCGATCATAAAAAAGAGAGAAGAAAGCACATTTTTGCCTATGGAATAATACCAAAAAAATATTGTGGAATTAAAAGTAAATATGGAAATTGTTTTGAAATGGAAGATTCGTTGTCTTATTTGAACTTTCTTTTTTATTTTATTAGTGATTTTTCTTATTTAAAATTTCAACACGTGATTTTAGAGTAGTTTATGTTTTTCTTTCTGCATATTTCCTTGTTGTATCAATCAACATAGCCCGTTTGAATTATTACCAGATGGCCTATAGCATAGTTTGTTATCAGTATTTTAATATATATATATATATATATATATATATATATATATATATATATATATCCCTATTTTAATGAGGTACTTTAATATATCCATGTTAGAAAAAATATGAATGTGATTCAAATGTGCTTAATATTGGAAGTTAGAGTGTATTTGTATTATGATTTGAAATATTGTAAACGGGCATTAAAATAAAAATATTATTTAATAACTTTATGATTAAAAACAAAAAATATGATTAAAATATTAATATAATGAGTTGTAAAATTGATGCTTTGTTTTATCAGGTTATCAAATAATTATTATTCAAAATTTATCGCCCAGTGAGTCGTTTGGTCCAGGGTAACATTTAGACAGTATATACTTTAAAATTATTTTTGTAATAATGGTTCGAATATTTGTATCTATATATATATATATATATATATATATATATATATATATCCCTATTTTAATGAGGTACTTTAATATATCCATGTTAGAAAAAATATGAATGTGATTCAAATGTGCTTAATATTGGAAGTTAGAGTGTATTTGTATTATGATTTGAAATATTGTAAACGGGCATTAAAATAAAAATATTATTTAATAACTTTATGATTAAAAACAAAAAATATGATTAAAATATTAATATAATGAGTTGTAAAATTGATGCTTTGTTTTATCAGGTTATCAAATAATTATTATTCAAAATTTATCGCCCAGTGAGTCGTTTGGTCCAGGGTAACATTTAGACAGTATATACTTTAAAATTATTTTTGTAATAATGGTTCGAATATTTGTATCTATATATATATATATATATATATATATATATATATATAAATAACGTTATTTTAATTTAAAAGATTATTATAAAAATAATATAACATTTTCTTCAATTTTATAAAACTTTAAATTAAGTATAATATAAATGTCAAATTTTAATAATCAAGTACAATTTACAATAATCAAATTTTTTTATTTTATTATAAAACCCAAACTCAATACAATAAATCAATAATCATATATAATATTGACTCATTTTATTTTTTTTTCCTTGAATTTTCTATTGCCATTAAAAAAACATTAACTATTAACCAATCTAATTTATATTGTTTTAATGATACCTATTGTTATATCATTATATATATTTAAAGTAATAAATATATTACCATTAACTTCACTAGTGAAAACACATGTCTTATGCGTACACGTGTGTTATTTTTTTTATAATAACAAAATTATTGTTATTATAAAGTTGAAGTTAAAGACAACATATTTTCATGTTAAAGACATTTTCTATTGACATATTTTCATGCTTCAACTTTATTTTCATACATTATAAAGGTTTGTGTGAGCTTGATGCTTAAGGTATAAAATCAAGTTAGAGATAATTATCAAATAAAATATTCAGTGATATGTACACTTACACTTCTTAACCTAAGATTCTATCATAGGGATGTGACTTTGTTTACCCAAATACGATAGTTGTTTTCATATAACAAATTACATTATATATTATATAATTCAAGTTGTGACTAATTTTATAGAGTGTCGAAAGAATTCTTATATAAAATAATTGTATTTGACTACATGAGTGTGAAAAGAACGTTCATACACTAGGGCAACAAAGGATAATGACTACGATTATTTTTTATGTTAAACTACATTTAAAGAACCATAATATATCAAACTGTAGTAAAAAAAAAAACCCTTTTGACTATGGTTCAAAATCGTAGCCTATTAGTCTATTATATAATAGGCTATGGTTAACAAAGTAACAATAACCTATATGCATCTAAATGGACTATGTATTTTTAAAAATGTAGTCTTTAGCACGTCAAACTAACCAATAAGCTAATGTTCCTATATATAATCGTAGCCTATAATGATTTTTAAAAAGAGATAAGCTACGGTTGTCTTTAAACTTGTAGTTTATTATTATTCTTAAAACAGTGTAAACAAGTACAAAAGAATAGGATACGATTTTTTTTAATAGTCGTAACTTATACTTCATATTATAAACTATGATTTTGGATGGAAACATAATCTATAGCTGACATATAGGCTATGATTATTACGAGAATAGTAGTTTATATCCCTTTTCTATAAGTAAACTACTTAGTTAAAATTATTGTACATTTTTACTATATATTTGACAAAAACATTCCTTCTACAAATTGTATAATTTTTTTTACTCTTCGTTCATATTAAAAAATGATGTGTGATGAATTAATCAAATATTGATATACCCATACTGTAACATCCCAAAATTATACAGTCAGCAACTATATAATAGAATATTAACATATATTAATATGATAAGGCAGTTTTACAATAACAGAGAACAAGTTCAAAATAATGGCCGAACGACCTTACATATACACGTAAACTACGAGCGCTACAAAATAATAAGAACGAACGGTTTACAAAAGAAATACCGAACGTTCAATATTCAAACGCAAACCAAAAGTAACGCTTGCTCTAAAGCGGCTCGCTATTAACTACACTAACTAAAATAACCGAACGCCTTTACTGTTCGGCCTTCACCTCAACTTCTACTAAGTTATCTTCAGCAATAACTTCCTCTTCAAGTGTTTGCTCCAGAGACGCATCTCCCTCTGCTCACATCCACACGGATGATCATTGCATTTGACAAGACGGATATACAAAAACAGACAACACAATTGAAATGCAAGGGTAAGCTTATTGAATTTAATTCAAGTCAAACATATATTTCACACTTATCAAATTCAGCAAGTAAATTCACAACATATACATTCAATTTATACATTAATTCCATCCAAATCCTGATACTAGACCGACCGTCCGGACTGTATGAATCCTGTGTAGCTAAGGCGTCCGTGCACCCAGGTGGGGTAACTGGAATGCTCATCAGTAGCCACCTGAGGTTAGTCTGTTCTGTCCAAGTTACAGTTATGGACTAGACCTCCTGCCATTCCCCGCTTACATACTCCTCTCTACTTGAGAACGAGCACTCACGGAATATCAGGATGAACCACCATCTAAGCTTACCACGTTCCATACTTACAAATCTCAATATCCATTCAAGAGTCGTTCCACACCTGAAACGTTCGTTCAAAACCAACAATCATAATTTCATCTCTTACTATCATCGCACATCTTAATCTTTCATCTTATTCACACTTTCATTCTTAGTTTCACTTCCATAAAAGAACGAACGTCCAGTCCTCTTTGTAATAGAGGACGAACGTTAATACATTACCAAAAAGAGGCTCGTTCACGAGTAGAATAAAACCAAGACAGGTTATTAGACGAACTCCATTATAACTTGACTCAGTTAGATGAACTGAATCTAGTACGATCTGGAAAATACTTAGAATGATTTAAGTTCAATAACTCTAGAATGAATCCAATGGATACATAAATTCACAAACTTGTTTAGATAAATAAACCGAACACGAGATAATTCAGGAGACAAACCGCCAGTCAATGACCGAACGCGAAACTAGGAATTTAATGAAGTTTTGGACGAACGTCACTTAAGTATTGGACGAACGTTAATAGGACTATTGGACGGAACGCTATTTAAATTTATGGACGAACGCTATTACCGCTCGTTGATAATACAGAAGGAACGAACGTTCGGTATAGGACCGAGCGTTCTTTACACATACACATTTGGACGAGCGTGGTATAGACCGAGCGCTACTTAGGACGTACGCTTTGGGTCGAGACCCATAGCTAATTCAATACATTTGAAATAAGATTTTTCATAAGTTAAAATATTGAAGTTACATTTGGAACAATATGACTAAGTGTTTGAATATATTCTCAGGCTCTCAAATTTTCACAAACACTTGGGTATTTACGTTTGGCCGAACGCACAAACGTAAGGTTAATATAAGAGGGCGTTCGTCCTACATGCGAATTCTTTCCAAATGAAAGGATTCAACTTTTTCAGAAAAGTTACAGAGAATACCGAACGGTCAAGGACCGTTCGATAACGAACGTGTGTTATCATACAATTCTCATTTTAAATTTCTCATTTACAATAAACTCATTTTCCAGTATAACTTTCATACATTTAATTAAGCATATCATAGCAAAAATCTATAATGTTCATGCATCATCTCATCACACAGCTCACATTTCAGTTTAATCCAACCATATAACTTTTCATCATTTCCATACAATCAATTCAATATCATATTCATACACCAAAAATCCACTTATCATACATCATACTTCAAACATCACATAAACGCACATGCAGTACAAGCACAATCACATGAATTAAATCTAATAAGCTTCCCTTACCCGGATTCAGTAGTGAACGCTCTAAAAAGTGAGTTGTTTCTACTCGTCCAAGGTGGCTTTCTATTCTCAATGTTCCTCTTAACTCTTCAACTAAAATTAACAAAAAGAAAACGAAAGAACTGAGTTTACACCCATGCATGCAGCTGGATCAGGGTTTGTAGGAAATCCAAAACGATCGTCCAAGGAAACTTACCAGAACTGGAAGTGGTTCGGTCCAAAATGAAGCTCACGTTGCAGTGGTCGTTCTCACGGTGCTGAAACGTGAACGGAGCAGAGAATGGTGAGTTGCAGAAGAGAGAAGAGAATGGTTTTTAGAGAGAAGATGGAGAATTTGGGATTCAGAATTCTGGGGAAGAAGATGAAGTGTGCAGAGAAATGGGAAGAGTTTTCCAGAATTCATTTTCTCTTCCCAAGCAGGACGTGCGTCCATTTCTCTGCTGCCACATGTCTTCCATTAACGTTTTAGAACATTCCAAAAATGACATCTGGCCGTTGCTGCAGAGTGAGTGCGTGTGCGTCTTTAATGGCACTGAACACGTGTCATGTGCATTAATGGAAGCAGAGTGGTGATTCGGCAGTGAATTTAATGGACGTGACACATACGGATATGCACTATGAATATATCTCATTCAAGAATATATATTTTTAGTTCATTGAACATATCAATTTTAAGTATTAAATTACACAAAATTTTACAGTATTTTACATTGATCTTTAAGTTACATTAAACGACTATCAACCATAATAAAATATACTCAAAGATTAATATAAAATACAATTAACAAAAATGTATGAAATTTAAAAAATATATATTAAAATATATAAGCACTATAACAAACTATTAAAACGGTTATTCATCTTCTTAAATTATTCAATTAAATCAAAATTAAATACATATAAATTATTATTATTTTCTACTCTTATATTAATTTTAATATATATATATATATATATATATATATATATATATATATATATAAATTTTTTATAAAAATGAGGTAGTACATGGTTTTCGTATTGAATTTCGAACGAAAAATTAAAGCTCACTCAATATAAACAATTTCAAACAAACTAAATTATGCATGTAATTAATCAAATATAAAAATAAATAAAAAATTCAACATATTAAGAATAAAAAAATATTAAACAACATATTAACAAGAACCTGGGAGTGTTTTGAACGTAGCTATAACTCAAAAAATCAGAACTGCAACAATGGGAGTGCTGCAACAATGTAAGCAACCCAGACTCTCCAAAACGCGTCATGGTGTCATTGCAACGTACCCGAACTTCAACGGTGACACTCCAGAAAGCGTCATTGTGCTAGAGTTACCTATTTGTATATATGACCAAAAACTATTTTATCAAGACCATCGCTAGACAAGCCCAATACACATGTCTACCCACAATAGAAGATATAAGATATAAAGAAAAATAAAAGAAAACAGGTATAAGTAATAAAATGTTTTATATATAAATATTTTGAACCTTTATATATAAATATAAATGCCAACATGAAATAATTAAAGATTAAATTTTATTGAATCTATTAGTATGATTATGCGATAAAATAGTATCGCTATTATTAATGATAAATATGCTTCTAGTTTGGATAGTTACATGTGAGGACTTAATCCAACCGGCCATGTCTTGCAGAGGACCACCTTGTTTTCTTGGTAAGTAATAACCACAAGCTCCCCCTCCTTAAAACCTTGTCTTTTTATGACTTTCAGTTTTTCTAAGTGCTTAAATCTTTTCATTTCTAAAATCGGTTTCAAAATTTAGCTATGGTATGCCAATTTCTACTAAACTTTTTTTATTTTAAAATATGAAAGAATTTGGAATAAAATTATTATTTCATCAGATGTCTCATGCATGTCGGAAAATTGAAAAGTGTTCATGCAACATAATCTAATTACCACATGAAAATTAGTTAAAAAATAAGTAAATTCTTAGATATATGTAATCACACATCCAAATATGTATTATTTACTTAATCACACTTAGATTGGCCAACTTGGTCTTACAATCAGCCTTGTTATCCATGATTTGCGTTTAGTTATTATTATTTGTGTTGTCATATCTTTGTCAACAACATTGCCTGCTATATTATGGTGGTGAAGAATCTGACATTTTTGAAAATTTGAGTTTCTTTGGAGCTGTCTGTCATTATTATTTCCACTCTTTTCTCTAATTGTAACGCAAACTAAATTTCTAACCAGCTAAACTCTTGGTAAACCAGAAATGCTCAACTTATACCTATTAAGCCTCTGAATAACGAGACAGAAATGTTACATGCTATCTAGAATCTGCAGTCTGATGTTGTTAATATGTCCAGAGAGTGAGGTCTGTTTCACAATCAACCTCGTCCCAATCAAATCTCTTCATAGAAGGTGGAGTAATGAGAAGACCATCAGCCATGCTATCTAACAAACCTGGCATGTTATAAACTGCCTCTTCGTCGAAAAACACTGATTCGTTGGACTCCTCAACATTAGGCACTGTCTTGGCAAAATCAACAAAACCCTCCACCGAACAAGGGTTAGTTTCTATTTCAACCCTTGTAAAGGACGAAGAAGGGTTGGCCGGTAAAAAAACCTCGGAAACTTGTGCTGCAGCCGCTCTAATATCTGCAGCTGAAGATGAATTTGCAACTGGAAGAAGAGAAACCGAATCAGGGAAATTGAATGATGCAGAGGTGCCCTTAAGTGCTAGGGCAGCCACGTCATGTGCCCTAGCTGCCATTTCTGGTGCAGAGTATGTTCCGAGCCATATCCTTGATTTGGTGTTGGGTTCACGAACTTCACACACCCATCTGTTACCGTTTCTCTGACGAACTCCTCTATACACCGGATGCCGTGTTTCTCGAAACTTCTTTCTCCCAGCTTTCCTCTTGTGAGAACTCAACTCTGGTTTTTGTGAGGGGAAGGATGAATTATCCGATGGAGAATTCGGGTTGCAAAGTTGGCTTTGAGAAGAAGTGGATGATGGTGATGAAGAGAAAGAGTAGTCATCATTGTTCATGGTTACATCCATGGTGATGAAGAATGAAACAGTTGACGTGTGTTTAATATGGCAACTGTTGATGAACGATGAGTACGAGGTGAAAAGGAATAATGTTGTTATATATAGACCAAGAAGAGTAGTACAATTTCATGTCTTTTGAACCAAACATGTATAGAAATCGAGAAAGATAAGCTACAGAACTAGGTCGCAAGGAACACGTGCTACACATTTAACGAATCAAATTCCGTCACTTGGTTAATGGCAAAGATTGGAAGTTAACAGAAAAAAGACATAATTATTAATTTGTAGAATATATTGACCTTGAATTTTATTTAAGTCTAAAATTTGGTTTATTTTGGAAAGAATTTAAATGTTAATTGACATTTATATGACAGAACATTAGTTATAGTCTCGTATCCGACAATGATAGGGGAGTATGACACACGTTGCAACTTTTTATTCTTTAAAATAATTTGTTTTGAGACATAAAATTAAGTATAGTTTAGTAGAATAGTTTAAAATTTATTTTTCACTTGTTAAAATTTAAGAATGTAGAAGTTTCAAAATTTATCTTCTATATTATATGAGATTTCTCTTAAATGTCTTAACAGATTTCTGTTATTTTTATTTTACTTTATATATATATGCATACAACTGGATACTTTTTTTTTTCTTTTGGAAAAAAAGTTTATGCTTGAAGACAATTAAAGCAGAATTCGAAATCATTAAAGTTGTGTAAAGAAGCATTATGGAAATCTGACTCATGAAATGGTGGGAATGGTTCTGACTTCAAAGGAAAAAAAAGAAGTGGAACATGGAAATAGGAAAACTTTCACATTAAATTGGTGTTCGAAACACTTTTTTTTTTCTTACGAAATACTATGATGAATGTCAACGCCGCTGATGATTGTCAATGTTGAGAAATTTCGACAAATGAGTTTGACTTGTTATTTAACCATGGTGTCAACTCAATAAAACTTAATAATATAATTAAATTAATTTTTATCATATAATAATATAAATGAGTATGTGATTATGGAGAAATATGAAACACATAATGATTATAATAGCAATGGCAGTTAAACATGTTTTTTGCATGGAGATTATTCATGGAATAAAATCCCAATTTGATGAAAAAATAATGAATGATATTTCAAGAATGGAACCTTAAAGTCAACGACAGAAAATATTACATGAAAAGTGTGTTTTTTTTTTCATAAATAAAAATAGTTTTAAAAGAAAAAAGACACAATTTTCTTAAAATATATATATATATATATATATAAATTTTTTATAAAAATGAGGTAGTACATGGTTTTCGTATTGAATTTCGAACGAAAAATTAAAGCTCACTCAATATAAACAATTTCAAACAAACTAAATTATGCATGTAATTAATCAAATATAAAAATAAATAAAANTGTGTGTGTGTATAAATAAATAATTCAAACACTTCCAAATCAAAAACCAATTTCACGTTGGTGGTCCCGTTTTAGTTGTTAATAATATAACTCCACGTGTCCGTTTTAGTTGTTAATAATATAACTTCACGTGTGCCGTTGACCTGACCTTTTTAGTCATTGAAATTTGAATGTGTACGTCTTTGACATTTTATTAACGTCAACGTTGACTAAGTCAACTGTTTTCTCGTCAGTTATTATCACTAAAAATCGGTGATATTTTTTTTAAATAATGATTTTATCATTACATTTGTTTTCTTTAAGAGAATTTTTATTTATATTAATGAATTATGCATAAATAACACTTTCATGTGCACAATTTAGGAACCATTACCCTGCGTCCACAAACTGGAAGATACACTTTTGTTATAAAAGAAAATTTAAATTTTATTTATTTTATCAAAAAAAATTCCCAATTAGAATAATTAACATTTCTTTTTTAAATTGGAGAGGATATGTTAGATATCGGGATGGACGGTAACAATACAACCTAGTTGTTACTGGTCATGTTTTAAAACATTTCCTTCTTTTATTTATAAATTTTGTTACACAAATAGTTTTTTTTATTTCTGTAAAAAAATTAATTTTAAAATATAATTCCAACAAAATTACATATTAAAAAAATTAATATAAATAAAATTAAATTTAAGCAGGTTAAGTTAAAGTATATGTTCTTTTGTGTAAATTCCCATAAATGGGTATTTTAAAAATAGTGGTAGTCTAAAAATAGTTAGACTCGGTTATTTTAATATTAAATAAGTTTATTATAAATATTTTTGTCATAAACAAATTTTATTATTTTAAGACGTACCATCTATCTAGAAATCACTTTTATAGAGTTCTCTACCTTCTCTCTAAGAGTTCTACACTAGTGCAATAAGGAAAACCGACAACAGTTATTTTCGCCCATAGGCAGCGATTCCTAAACCGAGGTATATCCAGGCGAGACAAAAAGTGGTAGACTTTTTGCCTCGGATCTGAACCGAGTTAGTTTGTCCCCCTCTACTGCCTCAATTGGAACCTGAACCGAGGTAGTAGGGTCTTTCTTTTTTTTCTTCTTTCGCCACCTTTATGCCTCGGTTCTGATTTCAATTCCAGATTCTAATTTGAAACCCCCAAACTAAAAAAAATCAAGATTGCAAAGACAAAAGCCCAAAAATTAATTTGAAATGAAATCCATGTCTCCCAATTCACAAACTCAGATAACAAAGTTGGAACCCCCAAATCAGATGAATAGCTGAAACCCTAACTCGCAAAAACAAGAACAGAAACCCCAAATTTGAAAATGAAAAACCTAATTCCCCAATTCTCAATTTCAGAAACCCTAAAATGCCAAATGAAAAAACGATTCACTCCGCTGCTGCCTTCCTCGCAACGCGCCACCGCCGCCTTCATCCGTCATTGCATCCCCATTCGCACCCAACTCACGTTCTTATACGAAACAGGCAACCCCTAAAACTCAAACGAAAACAGAGGAAGAAGAAGGAGAAGGAAACTTGCATCGCGAATCAGAATGATCAACGTCCTCGCGCAGTCGTCACCATCGAAGAAGTCGGAGTTTGAATCTTCGCGGAAGAGCTGCCGCTGTCGGATGCGACCTCGCCGCGCCTCGCCGCGTCTCTCCACGTCTTTGCTGACCACTCACCTCCATCACAGCACTCTCGCTGCTCGTGCTTGCGAGAAAGGAAGAAAAGAAAGGGAAGAAACTTCAGCTAGCGCGTTCAATCATTTGTTTTAATGACGAAAGAAACTTTCTTTAAAAACGTTTTTATATTAATTTTTTCTTTTTACTTTTTATATTCTTCTTTTTTTCATTCCTTTTCCTCTCTCACAAGAAGTTGTCATGAAAAAATATAGATAGAATTACTGTACTCCATTCTGTTTTTGTTCTCCTTCACCTTCATTCTCATTATTTACTACAGTATTTTTTTATTCAAGTAAATTAATTTGTATTTGAAACTCTAAGAAAAATAACAAAATTTATATAAAGATGTTATTTCAATATGAAAATGATCATGTAATTTTAGTTTAAATCAATTCAATTTTTTTATTGGTAAGTTTTTAAGACACCTAGAATATCTGAAGAGTTGAATTATATATTTGCATATTGTATGAGGAGACATATCTTTAAGAAAAACATTTATATGCAAAAATCATGTTTATTAAATTCAACGTGCTATTAGTAGATATTTTTTTTATAATTAAATATAAAAATGTTAAATATATGACCACAGTATTGAAGAAAATAAAATAGATATGAATTTTCCGTCCAAAACCTAAAGACACCTTATAAAATCCCCATAAAATATGTATCACATTTTATTTTTGGTTAAAAATGAATCAAAATGAAAGAGATAGATGGCAATGATGATGCACCCAAAAGCCATTTTCAGAAAATGACGTAAGCTGAACGAAGACACTTTACTTTACCACTTTTACGAAGCTCACTAAAATAAAATAATCATTTAATGATTTGAATTTCTAAACGGTAATAATTTTATTTAGAATAATTTGTAAAAAAGAAAATGTTTTTAACAATTTTTTTTACAATTTTTTACAACTCTTATATAATAACTTATAATTTGTCCGTTAATAAAATAATAAAATAATAAAATAATAAAATAATGACATATAATTTATTATAAAAAATTTATTAATTTTTTTTAATATCATATCCATTTGTTAATTAGGTTTCTTAGTCCTGTTGTTATCTTTGAATTTGTTGATATTTTTGTTGTAAGGTAACATATATTTTTTTCTGTTTTGTCTTAATTTTTTTTATCACTCAATGTTTTGTCTTTTATATTTTATTTCATATATTGCGATTATACAATGTTAATTTTAGTGGTTGAGTTTTCTTATATGTGAAATTATTATGATAATAAATTATCGTTATACATAAAACATAAAACGTAGTCTATATCGAAGTGAACAGTTTTTTTGTTTTTTTTTTTAAATTATTAATGAAGGATAGGATATTTTTCTTTTATTTTTTTAATATATAAACAATGCTCAAAACCTTTGAATTGTACAAGGCTAGATGACCTTGATTGAAAATAATAAAATGTCTTATTCAAAGGATCACGATAGGTTAACAACTATAATTTGATAACAATTTAACAATGGTCACATATCAGCTTGGGTTGTAGGATTTTTTTTTTGCAGTCGCTATGGTGAAAAGAGAGACAAATTTACCTTTTTGAGATTTCGAAATTATTCCTCTATGCACCCTTCATTTTCAATTCAGATTTCATTTCTCTCTCCCTCTTCATTTCGGTTTTCTCTCTAACCTCCATCAAAACTTACTTTGCCCAACTCATTTGGAGCAAAGACCCCATGTGGGTGTTTCAGCAAGGTAACTCAAGTGCCTCAGCATTTGAAGCCAAGAGATGCTCCAATAATTGATTACATGGTGCTTGCAACCGATTACTAGTGGCTTAATAGGTACCCCAATTGGGAGAATGTGACCCTCCATGGTGATTTTTCTGTGCTTAAGGCTGCCTTTGTCCATTGTTTTCAATGGATGACTCCTGTTGGTCATGGTTGATGGTTACAAGTGCATCAAAACTC